AAATTAAATCACAGCACAATTTTAAAACCCAAAAATTTTCTACCACACTAATTTCTTGATCTACGGTATATTTTTTGTATGTCCACACTTACATTTCTTCTATACATGTTGCATTGGAGAAATAACAAAATTCATAAGCACTAGCACCCACCCGCCCACGCTCCTTTACGTGAGTATGGTCACGGCAAACAAAAATGGCGGCTTACTCATAGCACAAAGTTATAAGCTTTCTAACAGCAAGAGAACATAATGATACTGTCTCAAGACCTTCCTTGAAGGATTAAAAGGTAGAGAGAACCTCTATAAGTTTTAATAAGGACCCAGCTGTACTTGCAAGGTGGTGAAATCAATTAGAGCAATATTTTTTACACTGTTAATCTGGTTTATCTAGTTCTGCTTGGATCAACAGTAGTACTGCAATACTTAATGGAGGTTCCAGGCTTCCAGTTCCAGCTAAGAAAAGGTAGTTAGTCTTGGATATCATTGTTTTATTATGTGTGTTCAATAAATTGTATTTTAAAAACACAAACAATAATATCAATTAATCTTATACAATGATCATGAGCTTGCAACAGAAACAACAGTCAACAGGACAGGATTGGAAGGAAGCAATGGGTACTGTCACTTCTTCTTGAACAAGGATTTGTGTCAAGATTATTATTATACTGTACTTCACTAAACACTGATCAGTATAGATATAGAATTCCTTTAGCATATTCTTGGTTTTCACAATAATTATTCATGGTTTTAATTGAGGATATGAATCATTATTGCATCACGTTGAGAATTAAGTTCCACACCCCATTGTGGGAATTAGTCTTGCAGTGCCAGACTCCACCCCTTTTTGACATTTGGACAGCGGGGTAGGAGTCTGGTTCCATTCCATTCCTCAACTCATTCAATTCCATTCCTCAACTTGTTCCATTCCTCAACTTGTTCCATTCCTCAACTCGGGCAACTTAATTAGTGACGTGATAATTATAGTCTAGTGATGTAATAATGGTACATATTCATTTTTGAATAAGAAAATATGGTCTAGGGGGGTGCGCGTTAATTGGATGCTTATAAACACTGAACAGGTGAACTCACGTTGTCTATGCAGTTCAAGATAGAAGCTTTGTTGGCAGGTAGACAAGCAGATGAACTGAAAGTTACTGAACTTAAGCACGTGCTTAAAGCAATAGGAAAGTCCACAAAAGGAAAAAAGGCTGATTTAATCGACAGAGTTAAAGCATATGCTCTACATGGTGTTGTGGATGCATCACAGCCTGGTAAAACAACCCAGCTCCACTGCAGTACTTCTATAAACTTTCCTACAGATGGCTGGGAAGACATTTGTAAAGCCACAAGTTCTGTACATGGATTTGAGTTTGGAATGAGCCAGATTGTATCATATTTTGTTACTCGCTCAGTGTCAGATGGAAAAGTTGCAGGGGATTTAAAGTCCATCGGCAAGTCAGCAGAAAATTTATTTAGATGTGGACATGTTCAGAACATTCAGTGTGTGAAACATCATAATATAATTTACATTCAAGCTAAGTGTCTTCCTGAGATGAGAAAAGACAGGTTGTACATTGTTAAAGCAGCACTGAAGTTGGAAGATTTTGTAATTGTTTTTGCTGAATGTGGCTGTCCAGCTGGGATGGGGCCAAATGGCAGCTGCAAGCACATTTCTGCACTGGCTTATGCTCTTGTTGATTTCTGTCGTTGCAATAGCTTGCCAGAAAACTACACTTGTACACAAGTTCTACAGCAGTGGAATAGGCCAAGGAAAAAGCATGTTGATATTATTCCAGTTAATGAATTAGGATCTCATCGAAGGCAGCTGACATCATCAGTTAGATCATATGGATCAGGAGTAGTTTTCGACCCTTGGCCGATGTCTTTTAGAGATATCGATCCTTCTGTTGCCCTGGAAAAGTTGAGATGTGACCTCCTTTCTCTAAATCGGCCATGTGGACTTTTGAATATCATTATTCCTTTTATCTCCAAGATAAACCATGACCACTGTTACCACCAACTAGTTAATAATTCAGACAGTCAACTAATAAATCTTTCAACAGTGAGTAATAATTTAAACAATGACAACAACTCATCTCACAGTTGCAATTTTTCTGTTTTGGAAGAAGGAAAAATTACAGCAGAAGAGGTACTAGAAAGTCTCCATTTGACATCTGAAAAAAGGCTATTACTAGAAAAAGATACTAGATTTCAAAGCAGTTGTTCCGCTTGGTATGAAGCTCGTCATATTCGTATTACTGGGTCCAAGTGCAGAAGAATAATAATACAAAAATCAAAAACAATTGCACTACTTCATTTCTGTGTTTATCCAAAACCCATGAGTTTTATACCAAAACAAATTGTCTGGGGGAAAGATAATGAACACATTGCAAGAGGGGCATAAGTGAAACACCAGGTAATTAATGGGCATGCTGGTTTAACTGCTTCTGATGCTGGTTTTCTTGTTCATTTCGAAAAGGGTTGGCTTGGTGCATCTCCTGATGCATGGGTATATGATCCCTCTGTTACTGATACTAAAGGAATAGCAGAGTTCAAATGTCCCTTTAGAGAAGCTGATAGTTTTATTGTAAATGCTTGCAGCTCACCTGATTTTTGTTGCGAACTGGTAGACGGTAAATTACACTTGAAAGAAGGGCACACATATTATCATCAGGTGCAGTTGCAGCTTTATGTAGCTTCTGATCTGTGCAAGTGGTGTGACTTCTGTATCTATACAAAGAAAGGTGTGGCTGTACAACAAATTTATCCAGACAAAGAATGGATACAGAAAATTTAACCCCAACTAGACAGTTATTTTTTTGAACACATTCTTCCAGAATTAATTACTAAAGAAAACAAACCAAGTTACTATTATTAACTCCTTACTTCAGTTCACTCCTCTCTCTATCCAAGCATTTTTATTTATAATGATGCATATATGTTTTGCTCACTCCTCCCTCTCTCTCTCTCTTTTAGATTACTTATGATAATGTACAAGTATATTACATTGTGCATGTATGATATCCTCCCTCTAAATTATTTTATTAATTTAAGAGATTTTAAAAACCTATAACAAATGAACCAAAATTAAGTACACAATGGCTCTTGAAAATTAGTCAAAACACAACAAACAAAAAACAATCTGTTAGCAATATCTGTCATTTGTACTGGTAGTGACCGGTCAAAGATATGGAAGTTTTTGATTTTCTCCATGGCTCGCTCTACATGAATGCGGAGAGATGCTATGCGACGAGTAATGACAAGCTCGTTCTCTGAAAACTGCTTCTTATCCCGCAAAAATGGTGGAATGTTTAGTTGAACTCCTTTTAAGATCAAGTCATCTTCAATATTAAATCCTCGATCTGCCATTACAGAATCTCCTGGTTCAAGCAATGTATAAATACCACTTTGCCTTGTCAACTCTTTGTCAGAGATGAAGCCAGGGTAAAGAGAGGAAATAAAGGTTACCACACCATCAGGTGAGATGCCTATAAGAACCTTAAAGGTGTTGCTGTTTTTATAATTCGAAAAAGTCATCTGTTGGATATCAGGCAAATGGGGTTGATCGATATAAACTTCAGTAGCATCAAGTATGACTCTAGTATTTGGATACTGTTGTTTGAATATCTTTGGCATATTCGCCTGAACGAGCTCTTTAGGTGGCCACAAAGGTATCTTCTTAAATTCAAGATACATGAAATTAATCCATGTCATTACGATTCTTGATACTGTAGACTGTGAAATATCAAATCTATATGCAAGATCTTGCTCCATCAGACCCAGTGTTGTCCCTAAAGCGCGTTTTGCGCGTTTTTTGCGCGTTTTACACATTAAACGGAAGTGCACACCCACTTGATTACGCGTGGGCATGTCATTAACACACCCTTTTAATTACAACAATCAGGAGAACTATACAGGTGGTTAACAAAGCATGGCAAGCCAAAGTAAACTAGGGGAAGGACTTAAACTTCTTACTGTAAACAGAGGGAGGGATTGTGGTGAGCCAAGTAGTAAGAAGAGGAAATTAGAGTACAAGTCTGCGTGGGAGGAAGGTAGGCCTTGGCTTTACTTTGATGATAATGAAGATGGAATGTTTTGTAAGCTATGTAAGAAATGGGAGAGAAAGCACAGGAGTGGCAAGCAAGTTTGGAATCAAGTGCCATGCATTTGCATTAGATCAAACTCTGTTTTAAGACATGAGCAATCAGACCAGCATAAAGAAGCAGTAGAATTAGAAAAGGCTAAGCAACAGAGTGAGAAGGATGGAGGTATTCATAGTTTTGACAAGGTTTGGGAAGCTGAAGAGAAATCACTGAAATCTGCACTGATGTGTCTCTATTGGTTATGTAAGGAAGAAGTGGCTCACTGTTCTAAGTTTGGCAAGCTGTTAGACTTAGTTGATTTACTGGACAAAGATATATTGCTAGACTTAAAGAAAGGTGCTAATGCGAGTTATCGTAGCCATCGAAGTATTTCTGAATTTCTTTCTCTGATAAGTAAGAATATCTGTGCTAGCAATCTAGAAGAGATCAAATCCAGTCCTGTAATATCATTAATGATAGACGAGACAACTGATGTTAGCACAAGCAAGCAGCTTATTGTTTATAGTCGCTATTTATGCTGCCCCAGAG